ATATCTATATATAGCTTTATTTTATTTTAGAATATATTACTTAGATATAAGAGTTTTTCTAGCGCTAAGAAATCTTTTTTATAGTTATTTACTTAATCTAAATATCTAAAAAGCTCTTAGTTACCTTAGTATTAGATATATCTAATCATATATCTATATATCTACTTATGTATGCGTTATTTCTATATGGCCTCACTGTTTGCGAGCACTAAGTCAGAAAACACCACTGCCATCCACTGCAACATCTTCATCGAGAACACCCTCGTCATCTACAGGAATACCATCAGAAATGATTATGGCCATCATTGTTGTTGTAGTACCGGTTGCCGTGGTATGTGTGTTCTTGTTGCATGTTGTTCAATTTCGGAAGTATCGAAAAAAGCGCTTGTTGAGTTGCCAACCGATGAGATAATGCTTGGGAAACGGGCGTTGAGAAGTGCAGAGCAATCGAAGTATCTGCAAGCTCCCTATTGAGGCTTTTATTGAAGAAGCTAAGACAACAAAAGTAAGTCTGTAAGCAACTCGTTTCGCACCGTTCCTCGCGAATCCACTCCGCCCTCACACGCGCCGTACCGTCACACTGCATGTCAGCTTTCGGCAAAGTCACGGCTCCGCTGCAAGCGAGCCAACCACATTTAGCTGCAAAGTCCGGTTCGAATCCTTCGAAACTCCTTTCGATAAGCCTGGAGAGATTGCTAGGACGAAGGAATAGGCGAAGTGCAGTCCTTGTTTGGGAGCCTGCTAGAGTATGTCAAGAGCAGATTGTTCGGGCGTTCTGACGCGTGCACTGCGGATGAAGCGAACGGCAAAATGCATCATGTCTTTATGCTGGCCTTTTTGTCTGTCGTTGTGGAGATCATGCTGAGTATCTAAGGGGTCGCTTCCTGCATGTGTTATGCTTACCACAGTGCCCTAGGCCATTGCCTCTATCTCAAGTTGTTGCCTAATTTCTGTTATCCTGCCTCACACAGCAATGCTTGCGCCGTGTGGCGAAGCAGCCAAACACGCAGAGGAACTCTGTCGCGTTTCAGCCCGAATTCCATTAAAATTTGGAGTTCACCTGCATTGATGCAGCCCATAGAGTCGCTGCCCACATCTTTTTGATATGCTTGTGCTGCAAAGTACAGCTTTGCTCTCGTGAATATACCCTATCCTATCCTATCAACCTCATCCTTCCCCCTTTTCTATAGAGATTTCGTGCTACGTCGGTGGGAAACTAACCTCTGATCCATACTACTCTTCTTTCCTCGCAATCCAAAGTCTCTGCTACCACTCTCATCCGCACGACCTATTGACCATCACCAGATTGAGTCCGGCTCTAGACGCTTCAGCATGTCGAGCTATTTCTCTTCCTCAGGCTACGTTCTTCTACTTGTTTCCTCCATCATCGCAACCTTGACAGTTGCTCTGAGGTTCTGGGCGAGGAGGATTCAAAAAATTCGCCTGGAGCTGAACGACTACCTTATCGTGCTTGGGCTAGTATGAGATCTCTGCACCCTCGTGCTTCTCACTTTCTAATTTGTGTGAGGTCTTTGCACTGGCTGAGGTTATCGTGGACATTTATGGTAGTCCTTCGTCTCTTACGCTGAAGATGTATTGGTCAGCAAACGACCCACACGTCCAAGAAATAGACGCCGGAAACTACCAAGCAGCTTACTCGTTGGTCTCTAAGGGACTTGTTCTTCTCCCTAGTACAACAAATTAAGACTAACAGCACACAGCTTTTCTTCATATCACATATCCTCTGGGCAATCGCCGTAACCCTCATCCGCTCCTCCATCATCCTTCTCTACATCCGGATATTCCCCGCGCGACCATTCCGCCTTACCTGCTACGCCGTTCTAACCCTCAACGTCGCCTTCTTCATCAGTAGCATTATCGATCAGTGTCTTCTCTGCATTCCCGTCTCTTGTCGATGGGATAGTAGGATAAGATGCAGTTATTGTGATAATCAAAAAATAATTGATCTCTTCAACGCAAGTATCAATCTTCTCTTGGATATCACGTTGGTGATTTTGCCGACGCCTGTACTGTGGGGCTTGCAGATGGCGGTGAGTAAAAAGGCAACGTTAAGTGGGATGTTTGGGCTGGGTATTCTGTAAGCTCTGCTCCTTCTTTGCCCAAAAAATCGTCTTCATATGCTGTACTTTATGTATTGATCGCCTTGCTACATCAGAACCTGCGCGATTACAGCCGATCGGCTTCAAAAGACAACCACGGTCAGCCCGGTGGGTAACGATTATGTTAACAAAACCACTCCGACACTCGCGTTCCTGAAGTGTCTCGAAGCGATCCTCGGCGTCCTCAACGCTTGCCTACCGGTCTTAAAACCTGTCTTTAGCAAGTTTCGCGATTCGATGAAGAAATTATGCGGCAGCGAAATCAGAAGTAGATCTTTGAAATGTGGTAGTATTCCTATGTTTATGCGAGTGAAGCACATGTGGAAGTCAAGGTCTAGGAAACGCGCTGGGAGAGAGGAGTTGGACTCGATAATCTCAATGGAGGATTTGAGGAGGAACCAGAACGGCGTTCAATCTACGTCGAAAGCAGAAAGAGTTGTAGGGACAAAAGTATTCGAGATTCATGTGCAGAGGGATGTCCATGTTGAGAGCTCTTCCTGTGAAGACTGAACTTTGCTGCTCGAATAGCACAGGGAAAAGCGTATTTTGTATCGTCAGCACTAGGAGTAACAGCGATACTAATTGTGGGGCATATAAGGTCATTCATCGTCGTATTGGAGAAACAAGTTGAGGGATCCATTTCGGCGCGAGATTGTAGCTTGGGAACAGCGACCCACGAGACTTAGGTTAGCGGGAGCCAGCACACACCATTCCTTAGATGTATACAGTCCGTCTATCTCTCCGAGTCTAGGACCACCACTCCGTAACCGCCAAGTTTCCCACGGTTTTAGTAGCACCGAAACATTTGCTTTAGCTGCCTCTGAAGGTCCCAGGCTGTATGTATCGGTCGAAGTTTAGCCGCGATGAATCTCGAATATTGCGTGTGGGAGCCACGGAGGAAGGTGCAGTTGTTCCTGGAACCCTATACTCCGGAATGTAATGCGGTGGTGTTACAAGGCAACGGCAACTTAGAATGCATAGCTAAGCCTTGCTTGCGAAGTGTTTTTGTTTCCGGACGGCGTAGGAGTTCAAATACCTAGAAGAAAAACCAATGAGGCCTTCGGCACCTGTAGTCGTACCTGAGGTAAGGATCTATCAAGCTTTGTAATTTTCGTGAGTCAAGGTATCTAAGGGGCGTTGATCACCACCAGAACCGTACCGTGCACTGCCCTGTGGCTCGTTCACCGCACACCACTTTCCGTCACTCATTTGCTCGCCAATAAGGCGGCGCTCACCCTAATCTCTTCAGGGGACTAGTCCCTTGATGGGCCAAGGAATTTTTCAACTGCCGCCGTCTACTGTTTCTTCTCCATTCACATCGATAATTCTACATGCTGCAGCATTGGTATTCACTCCTTGCTGAAAATATCGAACCTGCTCCTGACCGCTACTCGCAAGAGTGTTGTTTGGCTCTGAACTGTGTCAGGTCTGTTCTGGATCCGCTTTCTTAGCAGGCAACTGAGAGTCAGCTACTCACAGCTCCAACCTGCATCCCACAAGCACCTGACAACCACAGTTACGTAATGGAGCTGAACTCAAATAACGGAGGCAAAGGCCCTAACCATGTATCTTCTATCTTCTCGGGTTTTCTTCTTTTCACAATACGAGGCGAAGAAAGTTCATAGTTCTCCGAGTACCTCCACCTCATTACCATTTATGATCATTCAGCTGATCACGGTTCTGTAGGCGTCTACGTACGCTGGATTTAATGCCCGGGGATCTCTTTTTCTCTAGTCCCTCACATCCTTTACTCGATTTCTCCCAACTCAGCGGCTCGATCTCCCATGAGAGTCATCAAGTAACCGCACCAGACGACTGTAGGCCACTCACCATCTTCTCTAATGACCGGGCAACCATCCAAGCTGCTCTTGCTGGCCAAAACCCTCATTGCAATCACAGGCTGACTGTTGTCGAGGTCACCACTATCGTCCTCGGGGTACTGCTTTCGGCACACCAAAAGCCGAAAGGGTCTGGACTCTTTTGAGTGCCTTTAATGCACCGTCTTTAACTACAGCACATTCTGCGAGACCATGCTTTAGCCAGAGTTGGGAAGTGGTCCTGCTATAGTAGTACTCGAAGGCTTCCTTGTTTAATCAGCGGAAGAAGAGGATGACGCTTCGCATCGGTTTGCGTATGTCGGAGGCGAATAGAATTTTCTCAGGTGAAGGTATAGATGTGATGCCGAATCTCTAGAGGTGAGACCAACAGTGTGGATACAGTGGTCGTTGCCTTCTGCAATTTTTATCACGGAAATTGACGGACAAGGATTGCAGAGCCTATCAGTTTTTTCGGTGAGACCCAGGCTTGTGGATCGTCCGAGAATCCTGGACTAGCAGACATGCACCTCACGAATTGAAACAACAGGAAACTTCTTAGAGTTTCACGTTTGTTTCTGTTGCGTGCAGTGTCTTCACTTGGATATACTTGTAGTACGAGACTTGGCTGAGACTGGCTCGGTGGAGATTGATACAGAAATCTAATGGCATAGTAATATGCAGCAAGTCTCGAATCAAAGACGATTGATCTAGATAGCTTCAGCATTCAGCCCTTCACAGTTGGCGAAGTATATGATGCATGCAAGACCAAAAATGGGGAAGGATCGGTACAAGGTACTTCTGTTTTCAAAAGCGGTAAGGTATCATGGAAAAGGGGTCCAACGAATCTTACGTAAGCGGGACGAAAAAAATCGGATTCATTACCTCGCTCTTTCCCCACTTTTCCCGGCCAGCCCCCCAGCCCCCGGTATCATAACCTCATCACTCAGCACTTGGACTACACCCGCTAAGCAAATAACAATCGTATCATTCACCCTCGCACATCGCGCAATACGAGATCCATACATACAAAACGGACCAACCACTTTCGCAATCGTCAATGAGAATGGGGAGAATAGGTGACGGTGATGTCCATGCTGCCTATGTCGAGTTCCGCGCAAAAGAATCTGACAAGGTATGTTACCATCTTTACCACCCATACCAAACCATCCTTGCTCCCATCCAGGTTTTCATCTTCATCAATACCCGACACAATAATACTCATCCTCATCCTCATCCTCTTCCTCATCCTCATACTCATACTCATACTCATCAAACCATACACAGTGTCTCTCCGCACAATGCATCTACTGCCAATCTGTTCGCGCAAAAAATACCTCCCGTCAGCGTCAACACTTGCTCGAGTGTCCCAATTATCTTAGTGCTATGAAAGAGCATAATCCTGACAACCCAATCCTCCACGAATCCATCAACGGCACTCCTACCGTCACTCCCTCCGCCAAACCGAAGAAGCGTGATCACGACACCATGATCGGCTTCCAAGGCGACTCCTCTGCCTCGCGCTCCTTTCCCATCCCCAAACCTGTTCTCGAGCGCGATTTCCAGATGAGTGTCCAGCTGAACCCGAAGATCAGTGTTGGACCTGGCATTTGGGGACAACGGAACTGGGTTGGCTACATCTCCGGTCACTGGAATGGTCGTTGGGGGAAAGGCACGGTTGTGGTAAGTCTGGTGTTGTGCTCATCACCTAGCTATGCTGACGGCTTCACTGCAGCCAGGCGGACAAGACAAACAACTCGTCGCACCCGACCTCTCCACCCACCTCGACTCTAGCTACCTCCTTCAAACCCATGACCACCCTCCTGCATACATCTCGGTTAGAAATGAAGGATGGCGTGTCGGGCCTAGGGAGACCTTGGAGAAGCTGGATGACCCGGCTCAGGCAGATGAAGTCGACCCCAAGACCTACTCTTTCAGACTCTACATCCACATGGAGACTGGCGACTCGAGGTACTTGCACTTGAACACCGGCATGTGGATTGGGAGTGGAATCCGTCGCGGCACTGAAGGTATGTACCACCAAATGCTACTGAGTTGGAAGCTGACATCTACCGCAGTCATCTACGATGCTTACCGCGTCATCTGAGTCTTCTACTTCAACGATCACCACTACTTGACAGCTTCACCTACCCACTGCACTACGTCAGGCTCTAACATTGGCGTCGATTCCCTCAGGGTTTCCGCCTACTGCTGGTGCTTCCATTGGCGTCACATCCTTTCGAACCTTTGTTCGGCTCAGACTCATGCTTATGCTTCAACTACCATGCTCTCGGATGAGCATTTTTTGATGGTTTCTGGTTGCTTCAGGAAACGACATGAAAATCTCAGATGCGCTGGAGTGCTAGGATTTCTTCTTCCAAGAGCTGAAATGAAATGGCACTATTGCCTACAAATGTAAAATACTGCCCCACGATTTTTCCTCTTGACTTAGCCTATTCAACATGAATTGGACCTTGCTGCCTATGCTTCTGACTCTGCTTCCATCCTCCTACCTCATCCTGCCTCATCTACCCGGCCGCATGTCCGACTTCACTCTCTCTCCGTGAAGCCCTAGGAGATCACTAAAACTTGCGAATATTCTTGCTAGCTAGGGCGTCGAACTAGTACTCACCCTCGCCTCTTCCCTTCATCTCCACTACACTTTCTCACATCTTCCTCCCACACTTCCAACACCAAAGCACATCGTGTGTCGTGAACCAAGCGGTGATTGGCTGTCCACAAGTTGAGCCTTGAACCCTTTTTCCTGTCCCCATCCTTGAGACCCTCATGCCTTCGATCTTACAACACTGGATCGAACAGATACACGATAGTAACCAACAACCTGAGCCCTGAAATCCATATCATGCACAATTGCATTCTCGGCGTATCACTCCCTCGCGTCCCCGTGTTGCCTGATCCTCGAGCTGAAAACTTGTCACATCGGTCCAACAGCCTGTGACTTATATTTACGAGCCTGCCTCCACTGCACCAGAGGTCTTGTGTTTGCCACACGCCCATTTTTCAAAACAAAAAGTGAAAAAAAATTACAACCCCCCAAACGCCAATCGTCGAAGACCCGCCCATCCGTCCGTCCATCCTTGGTACATCCACTTCACGCCACAATACCACTGACACCGCCACTCCACCCCGCAGCTCCAAATAAACCATCATTCCATCCATCAGTCGCTCCCTCTTCCCCTCCAACACGCTCTTCGACATATCCCGAGACAGCGATGGTAAAGGGATAAGCGGCTCGTCGCTGAGAAAATACAGGCTTTGGATTGCGGATGCATGATTGGGGTGGGATTGGGCGCTGTTGGATGATGGCTACGGGTGTGGGTAGGGAGATGTAGAAGATGCTTGCGCGTCGGAGGTGGGTGTTTCGTGGGGGAAATTGCTGTAACTACTTGCCAGCTGAGAGGTTGGGAAGGCAAGGCAAGGCATGGTATGCGGCCGTTGATATCTAGCTATCTGGGGTGGTGCACCCAGTGCTTTGGGGGAAGGGATGAGAGTTGTGCGCGTGACGGGAATTGGAAATTTCTTGATATCTTTGCTGGGATGTTTTTGCATGGAGCAGATGCGTCTGGTGATTAAGGGTGAATTCCGTCAACCTGACAATCCGTCTCTTTCTATAATAACAACCATCATTTCCTCCACCCACGACCTTACAGCTCACAGTGACAAAACCACCACATTAACGCCTTTTTTCCATCCATCCATCCATCAAAAATACACCCTCCAAGTCGGAACCCCCTTAAAACACCACGACGATCAACAAACCAAGCACCAACGCCGACATCGAATACAGCAAACTCAACGAACCACGATCCGCCTTCCCAGCAAACGCAGACCCTCCAACCTCAACGGTAGGACTGGCCAAAGACAGCGTAACAGTGCTATTACCAATGTCCAAAACGCCCGACGCTCGCAAGCGGACCGGGGTCCCGGAGATCACAACGCCAGGACCACCAGCCGAGATGGTAGTCCCGTCGATGGAGAACGCGGTAGGGTTTGCCGTGAAGACTTGCCCCGCTACCGTAAAGACCGACGATGATGGTGCCGCGGCAGGGACGAGCAAGGACCCCGGTACGACGACGCCGGGCGCGCCGGGCGTCACCGTCTGGCCGCCGATGACGTACGCGCCCGCGTCGTCGGCGGTGAAGGTTCGAGAGCCGATGATGATGGGTGGGAGCGTGGGGCCGGGGCGGAGGAGCTCGGTGCGGCCGCCTACGACCACGGCCGAGGCGTCGGGGGCTAGGCTGATCGGGGTGTTGGAGATTGTGAGGGCGGGGGCGCCGGGGATGAGGGTTTGGTTGTCTATGATGTAGTCGGAGGCGCTGTTGGCGGTGATGGTTTGGGAGTTGAATGTTAAGGGGGGAGGTGGGAGGATGGGGTCGAGTGTGATGGTGTTGCTTCCGATGACTGCTTGAGAGGCGGTTGGAGCGAGACTGATGGGGGTGCCGGATATTGTTATAGCTGGAGCACCTGGTATTAGGGTTTGACCGTCTATGATGTAGTCGGATGCGCTGTTCGCGGTGAAGGTTTGAGAGCCGAATGTCAATGGGGGAGGCGTGGAGGCGGGGCCAAGTGTGATGGTACTGCTTCCGATGACTACTTGAGAGGGGGTTGGAGCGAGACTGATGGGGGTGCCGGATACTGTTATAGCTGGAGCACCTGGTATCAGGGTTTGACCGTCTATGATGTAGTCGGATGCGCTGTTGGCGGTGAAGGTTTGAGAGCCGAATGTCAATGGAGGAGGGGTATTGGCGGGCGTAAGATCTATGGTGCTGCTTCCCAAGACGAACTGCGTCGCGCCCGGAGCGAGGCTGAGTCGCGTCCCTGAGACCGTGACTGCTGGACCTCCTGGGGTGAGTATTTGTCCAGCGATCGTGTATTCGGACTTGCTGTCTGCGGTATAGGTTTGAGAGCCAACTGTCAATGCAGGTGGTAGTGCGAAGGTGGATCCGAGTCCAATCGTGCTACTACCGACGACAACCTGGGTACCGCTTGGAGCGAGGCTGATGCGCGTTCCTGAAATTGTGACCGCTGGAGCTCCTGGCGTAAGTGTCTGCCCGCCTACTACGTATTTTGATGCACTATTGGCGGTAACAACTTCACCTCCCACCGTGAATGCTGGCGCGCTGGTAGAGCTTAGCACAATCGTGCTACCAGCGATGACGATTGCACTCGCGGAAGGCGCAAGGGACACTTCGGTACCCTGTACGTTGATTGGTCGTGCTCCAGGTATGAGCGTTTGGCCTGCTACCACATACTGAGAAGCAGCGTTCTGGGAGATCTGCTGCGAGCCCACGGCAACTGATGTGATTCCAGCGACAGTTAGCCCCTCGGGTCCACCAGCCGGTAAGACGGACGTGACGCCATTAACTACTACAGCTGAGGCGGAGGGAGCGATTGAGATACTGTAGATTGGTGTTGGTGTGAGCATTGGGTATGGTTGGACACCCTGGATCTCAGGTAGAGAAGTGGAAGTGATGCCAATGGCGCCAGCTATGATAGCGCCTAAACCTTGAAAAGTTGAAGGAGGCTTGGCTGGGTTGGCTGGCGGAGGGTTTGCCCCGTGAACATCTTCTGGAGAGTTCACCAAGGGATTTTCGGAAGAACCTATTGGCATTGACAGTGGTTGATTAGCCTCCCCAGGTGGCGAAAGGCTTGGAACCTTAGGTTGAAGGCTTGGAGGAGGGTTGACCGCTTGGGTTTCCGGAGAGATGGCTGGCGTGCTGCTTGGATTTTCTACTGGCGTTGGCAGAGGTAGACTTGGAGCTTGTGGAGGCGAAGGGTTTTTGGGGTCAGCGGCGAAAGATGCTAGAAGCATCATTAGTTGCCGTGAATCTCTTACTGAAGATGACACAAATTGGACTTACTGTCTTGACCATGCGCAGTGCTGGATGCTCCAGCTTTCGGCAGTCGCTCAGCTTCAGGAGTGACTTCTGGCGTCGCAGCAACGGCCGTGGCACCTGGTGCTGCTGGAGTGGGGCATGCACCAGGATGGAAACACCCTTTCCCAGCGATTGTGACTGTCGACGAGACGGTCAACTCCGGTTCTCCAATCTGAACGTGGATAAAGTTGGGGAGTAGCTTAGCTTGATGGGGGCAAAAGTAAGCGAAAAGATTGACGGAAGGTCCTCCTGGCAAGCAAGAGGCGATGCCAGGAAATTTTGAGATGTATTCGGAATCCTGGGCCATCCAATCAATGAGAGTGTCAGGGACATAGCCGAAATTCTCATTGAAAACCTTGGACGGGAACTGGTCGCTAAGAGGAGGGTAGACAAAAGGCTTTGAAAATGAAACGTGTATCACGTCAAGAGCTTCCTGCTTTGAACCTGAGTCGAAGTATCTTTCTGCGTTAGAATTGATGCCCGTAATGTAAAGTGCACTTTTTGTTGCTGCACTTTCGGTGTGGTTGTCCAGCCTGGTGGCGTTGTAATTCCAACTCGCGTACGTCTGGGCTCGACATGTAGCCTGATACGTTGACGTCGTAGCACATGCTGCACGGCCATCTTCGTCTACGACAGCTGGGACACTGATGACCTTGACACTCGGGAACACGTAATATTGTGTTGGGGAGATGCTTTGCGCGCGGTCAAAGAGGTCTATGATATCACAGGAAGGGGCTTACCTACATAGTTTCTCCAAGGGTTGTAGCTAGAGACCCATTGAGCCCAATCTGCGTCACCGAGGGGCCGGGTGCTACATTATAAATATTGGGGATTTCCGGGAACCCCAACGCACTTTCTACAGTAGAGGTGTGAGTGAGTGTCCCTCTGACTGTAGAAACGTTGGTGGTGACAGTCGTGTCTATGTACTGAGTGGCAAACGTGATGAAAGTCGTTACGTGGGTTGAAACGACCGTACTGTAAGTGAAGTAGTCTTTGATCACAATTGGTCAGCAAGAAATTCTCCAAGGTATTCTTTTAGAATCACCCACCGGCCCAATACCTCACGTCGATCGTATCTTGGACGACGAAACAGCAAATGCTCGAAGAAAAAGCAGTGTTGACCGAAGTCTCATTCTTGAAGGTAGAATTGTAAATGCTGGGAGCAGTCGGAGACGTCTTTGAGCTGTTCGAAGAGACTTCATATCCCGTAAAGGCGCCGGATGGTGTCATGACGCTATTGGACGAGACATTGTATCCAAGTGGCGACGCTGTGCCTTGAGTCAGCCTGGTCGGACTCATGACATTTTTGGTTATTCAGAACAAATTACCTCGAAGAGACAAAGCACTAACATCAATTATGCCTAGAATCGCCCAGTAAACGAAGTGGAAGGAGACGGTCGGCATGTTGATCGGTCAATGGCGGTCTGAGGATACTTTTTCCCTTCACGAAACAGAGAACCTGCCTGTATATCATAAGGCTGCTGGGACGAGGCTGAGAGTCCTTGTTCCTGGAGACCCGCAGTTACGCTTGGCAGCCAATTTTCCGTGGACCGGCTCATGCATCAAATGCCATAGCCACGCCAGAAGCGGATGAAATCAGGCTCGCGTGAGATGATCGCCGTCGGAGAAGAGGAAGCTATTGGTTGATAAAGTGGGACCCTTGGGGAGCCTAGATCGCCATTCTTCGTCTGGAAAATCCCTTGAGATGGAAAAGGCACGATTGGCTGAATTTCTCAGCCGAAATGTCATGCTATCCCAGGCTGCCTGCATATGCAGTCGATCATCCTGCAGCGACGCGTCGTAAAAACAACCCTTTCGTCTAAAGAAGGCCGCAGAAATCAGTCAGCTTATGTTCCCCTAGATCAAAACATAAGAAGACATCGGTATTTCGACGCAATTGCGCAGTCCGCGATGCTTTTACAGATCCTTTTCGGGTGAGAGTACCTCTAGAAGTGTCCGACTTTTATTCGCTTTTTCCAGAGCTAGGACTTCTGCTCCAATACCGCGGATGGCTTCCTCTACTCCAGCACCAATAGTGATACCTCCCAGTCAAGATTTCGACGGCAATGACGGTCCTTGGTCTTCTTTTTACCTTGAGATCGGTTCCCCTGCCCAAGATGTCAAGGTTCTGATTTCGACAGCTGGCTATCAAACGTGGGCCGTCGTCCCACAGGGTTGCGTTGCTTCTGATCCTCCGGATTGCGCGACGTTGCGCGGTGGCTTGTTCATACCCAGCCAGTCCAGTACATGGAGTTATAACAATGCAAGCATCAATGGGACCTTCACGCTGGAGCTTGAGACTAACCTTGACTTTTCCGGCAATGGAGATTATGGCTACGATACCATAGTACTTGGTTACCAAGGTAGCAATGGACCCTCCCTCCAACAGCAAACCATAGCAGGTATCGCAACAAAAGAATTCTACCTTGGCGTCTTCGGTCTGAATCCTCGGTCGACCAATTTCTCCACGTTCGATGACCCTGTACCCAGCTACATGGCGACTCTGAAGGACAGATCTATGATTCCGTCCTTGTCTTGGGGTTATACAGCAGGAAATCAGTATCGCCCTGGCACAGTTCTGGGCAGCCTCACGTTGGGGGGCTATGACTCATCACGGTTCGTCACGAATGACGTGACGTTTGCCTTCAATCAAGTGGATGAGCGCGATCTTACAGTCAATATTGAGAGCATCCTCATGACCACCAGCAACAACACTGTCCATCTGTTGAACAACAGCATAGCAGCGTATATTGATTCCACTATACCCTATTTCTACCTCCCGTTAGATGTATGTCAGCAATTCGAGGATGCTTTCGGAATACTGTGGGACAACGATGTTCAGGCTTATCTGGTCAACGACACTCTGCACAAATCTCTACAGACCCAGAATGCCACGGTGATCTTTTCAGTTAGCAACACGACACACTCAGTCAGCATCTCATTGCCATACGCGGCCTTTGATTTGATCGCAGAATACCCTTTGGTCACCAATACAACTCGATACTTTCCCCTCATGCGCGCCATGAACGACAGCCAATATACCCTTGGCAGAGCGTTCCTTCAAGAAGCGTAACCGTTCACTGCGTTTTATCGACCTGGCAGATTTAAGATGCTGACGTGTCTCTAGATACATTATTGCCGACTACGAGCGCCGCAATTTCTCGATTTCTCAATGCAGCTGGGATCCCGGAGCTCAAGAAAGCGTTGTCGCCATCGAGTCACCGGCCAACTCAGAGGCGAGCGGAAAGCTAGTTGCTGGTACCGATACTAGGGGCTTGACTTCTGGGCGCATTGCTGGAATCGTAGTCGGCAGCATTGTTGGCCTTCTTTTCGTTGTTTTCTTGGCTTTTAGGGGCAAAAGGAAGGTTACTACGAATGTGGATACGGGATTTCAAGGAAAGCCCGAGTTGGCCGCAAAAGACGCGCCACTCTTCCACGGAGACAAAACTTCGAACGCAAAGACGCTAGGACTTGACGGCGGGAGCGATAGGGAACGCGAACTCGACAGTTACATGCATCCAGCTGCAGAGCTTGAAGCCAGTAGAGACATACAGGAGATGAAGAGCAACGAGGAAGTCGGAATTGAGTTGGCAATTTCGAACTTGCAAGTCAGCGAGCTGCCGTCCTAGCTGACTGTCACTGCCGGGCCCATGCAAAAATCAAGCAGATTACGAATTTGTGGGTCAAGAAAGGGTGGGCTGAGTTAACAGGCGTGACTTCCTTGCAGGCATTTGCAGCTAGCTACATGTAGAATAGCTGCTTGGTGGAGGGGCTACCTTCCTGCAGCAGGCTTCCATAAAATTCATCATCCTTTGCTACCCACATAGTAGAACTGTTCCGTTCAACGGGCTGAGAGACTTTTCGAGGTTGGACCGTAATATTAGAAAGCCAAGAGTTTGTTTAGTGTTGGGTCTGCATCCCTAAGCCATTCTGGATAGTGGACCGGCAGACTTTCGGACTTTTCTGGAGGTGCAACCTATAGATCTAGAGATCTGTCCAAGAGCGTGATATACGTGTAGAGGGGTAGAGCTCACGCACGCTCCACAGCGTTCCATTAAAGCCAGTTGAGATCTGTGAAAATGGCTGCGACGAGACTATGGCCCAAGAAGTCTCTTACAACTAGACTCGAGGGCGCTCGATGAGGTGCAGGAAAAGTGGAGAAAGACAAGGCTGAAGGGCTTCACGAGCCTCGGCAGATAATGTCCAGTGGGACAGGCGTCGCTGGAACACGTGGCATGGATTTTTTGGGGCGTTGCTTGACGGTGCAGTCTACCCGTAGCTGAATATTAGGCGTGCTGAGTGGACGTAGGATTGGAAGGAATGGTGAGAGCAGTGCCGAGGTTGTTTCCACTCAAGGCAAATGACGCTAGTCTGACGTTGGTATAGCGCTCTGCAGCCTATAAATAGCGCTTGCCCCCCTTTCCGTCTGACCTTCACTCAAGGTCCGCGTTGATAATTGTAAACCTCTGGAACGAGAGGCCTGCCTATAACATCATGAGCAGGACAAATCTGGTGTGGTATGTCTTGATGGTCTGAGGGAAAGATTGGCGCGACTTCCAGGGAAGATGCTCCTTCCCGCGTTCCAGGCGCAGTGCCTGCATCACGTCTGAACATCTGCAGTCAGCGTCGAATGTAACGATCCATCATAGACTCCTGCCTCATGTGCCTTAAGGCGCAGTCGACAGTCGTCATGCTTTCTCGTCAGTCGCAGCAAACAATGCCTCCCGTTGTCTGGCACAATTTTACATACATAGTCTGCGACGATAGCAAAGACGTCCAGCTCCGACCTCCTGCCGTTGTCTTCTCGTCGCCAAAGTTTCAAACATGCCATCCTGCCCTGATGGAGGCCGATTCCAAGTCTGCTCCTTGACGAATCGGTTCGTAGGGTGTTGCAGCACTTCAGCGTGCCATGATGGCGCCCAGGGCTGTCCGCGTGACGGTTTGAGGCCAGCGAGCTTCAATCCAGATATTAGATATCAAAATCAAGACTGCCGCCAAGGCGGCCCTTGGTACAACTGCCCTTTCACAACTCCACCGCCGTTCATGGGCTGTTGCAACGACGTCCTCTTCAATTAGCAGCTTTGCGTCGTCCCCTACGTCCACCAATACAGCAGACACACCTGCAGGGGCGAATACAGTAGCTTCTGCTGCGCAGGGTCTCCATACACTCTCTGGTAGCGTGCCAACAGTAAATGCAGCGGCCCAGTCAGTAATCCATGCTGTTACATCTCCTCCAAAGTCAAACACTGCCGCAATTGCTGGAGGTGTAGTGGGAGGCATCGTCGGTCTAGCTCTTCTACTTGCACTTCTCACCATACATCGTCGCTGGCGAACCACTCGACGACTGCAAGATATGGGTGAAGGGAGATCACCGACATGGGGCTCGGGGAATGCTCGTTCCTTGCAACCCGGTGAAGCTGAGCTGGAGGAGATGAAGCAAGGGCCTTCTCCAAGTAAGCGTACATTGTCACTCCGACCGTGCATAGAGCTGACTGCGTCTCTTCAGCATCTTCAACTTTGCTTCCGCCTTCGCCTTTACCCTCGCCTTTACCGCCGCCACCTGCCTACACAGCATACAGATCGCACGGCAATGAGCTAGATAGGTCATCCAACCTTTCCCAGCCATCCGCTAGTTCTCCGTATCCCTCTCACGACCTTGTGTCTCCAGAGTCGCCACCTTCGCCTCCGCCGCTGAAAACTCGCCTTTCCCAACATTCAGCAGATCAACACTCGGACGAACGGAGCGTGTCGCCGATATCATCACACTACCAGCATCAACCATCTGATGAGACTGGAGGCCCGGAGTCGAGTATGTACTCGGAGTTCTCGTCAAGCGAAATGCTCCACACTCACAGCATGCGACCATGATACTAGCCAGTAATGAAAGTTCAAATTCCAGTGGCATGTTCATGAGAGCGGTCTATTAAGACGCCAAGATTGCCTCCGTCACTTGGAAATTCGAGTATACGAAGTAAATATTTTCAACATCGTTAGCGCCAAACTCGTTCTACGTTCGTAAATCACTGGCTACGTATCTAACGGCTTTGTACCAAGATTTTCTTTGGACTACTCCAGCATGGAATGAAGGCAAAAGGCTAAAGGGGGGGATTTCCTGTTCATGAACCTGGCGCTTAGGGTCGTAATTGAACAGCTGGCAAAGCTCGAAATATTCAGCATGCGTTTCAATATTTCTTCATCTGTTCAACGATAGCTCCAGTGGCACCACTTGACATGTTTTCCGCCGAATTTAGCGGCTTTTCCGGTAGAGCCCGTATCCGGTTCGCCGTATATTTAAGGCCAGGATCCCATGTTTCATCGCCGCTTAAAGTACCCAAGTCTCTGTTTCCTCGGCAGAGCCTTCCGTAGGGTTTCGCCCCACCTCCTCTTTCCTTGGAGGAGACAGATGTCCCGGGTAGACCTCACCAAACCTCTTCCCGGCGCTTTCGTGCTTCCGTTAACACTTGAGAGACGCAAATCAGCCAATCGCAGGGCCGCCCTGTATCTGCATGTGACCTCGCGCTACGGCTACCTGCCTGTCAGGCGGTCTTCTTCCACATAGCCATGACACACCTACCCACTGATCTCAGGCGGTTCGTTTCGGCTGCGTCTTGAGGTATCGAGCTTGACTCCGGTTTGAGCTTCTTCTGCCCCCAACGACCGTCTCCTTATCGCTTTCTCATTACCTCATCATCATGTTCCTACAGCCAATCATAGCAACCTTGCCCATGCGGATCTCTTCCGTTGCCATGGTTTCACTTTCGCTTCTCTGCCACACAACACAGTTAAGACTGATCTACACCAGAGCCGTTGTGGACGGAACGCTACCAGACCCGAGACCTTGGGCGTCTTGATTCTGCTAGATTGCGTCGCACTTCAAGTGCTACGCCTGAGCTCCACACCCTTCCGTCTCGTGACATGACTCAAAATTGTCACCCGCGTGATGGGCTATATCTTGACTGGTCAGATACTGAGCGCCGCCCTTCGTTTCAAAGTTTCCCTCCATCATTCTGCCAAGCTGCCGCGTCTCTGCTTGCGTATTTTCGATCATGCGCAGGCTTTGATTGGACTCAGTATCCATCGGGCATACCCTTTCCCTTCATCAAGAGTGAAGGTCATCGTGTCCTGAAACCTCTTATTTCGCTTTGTTAGAGTGTGTGGACTTTGTAGAACATTTCGGTCACGCTACTGGATGGCCGCCCTTGTGTTACACAACCTCTTCATCAGAATTCGAAGCAGAGTGGGCGGATCGAAGCTCTCTGACCATGGTCTTGGATTGTTTTGCCAGGCGGCCGACATCTCATCACTATAAAAGCAAGCTTTCCCACCCCTTTAATCCATCTTACCAGACGTTCTGCTTCTACCTTCTTCGCATCTACCACTTTTCTCTGAGCTATTATTGAATCGGCATTCGGTCTCCAATCCCTCATCTACCAACTGGCTTGGTCAGACACACTCTCGCAGCACGCTACACATAAGGCGAGACGATATCTACTCAAGTGTTAATCATCAGTGGTGAGCCGAAACACTTCGCCTTCTATAACTCGTAATGTTCAATGACCAGCTCTATCTGACCTCACACAGTTCGCCATGGCAGCACCCGGCCCGAACCCGAGACCACAACAAGCCTGGCCATCCTTACCTTCTCTCAGTGATGCTGAGACAATGGTGCGACAGGCGCTGGAAAATCGACACACTTGGGATACCATCATTTTGTGCACCCTAGTAGATGATCTCTTTGGAAGGCCCATCTATAGCAAGGAAATTGCAAGCGTCATCAGCGTTCGCGACGGTCGTACAAACGTCCCTTTCCACACGGCTATCGTCGTGTACATGTTCGACATTGCGCAGCTGCCATTCATTGAAGAGGTTTGTCCTCTGACGTGTCGGTACAAAAAATGGGAAGAAGTCAAGAACAAGTTTATGGCACGCAATGGGCAAAGAGACTACGACGATATGGAAGAGATGAGCGCATGGATCCTCTACAACGAGACGTTGACGACTGCGAATCTGATAGCATCCAATCAGTTAGGTTCGTCATCAGCAAGGCAGTAAGGAGAGGGTGAACACCTGTCTGCCGAAGGAGACAAGGCCCGATAAGATGGTGAGCGCTAGGGGCGATTTCTGACTGTTGGTTCATTTGAATGTCATGCTGTGTGGGCTCTTTCTGATCTACTGTCGTCAAATTTGTTCGCAGGTCGGAAGTCACTCATTGAGGGAATTCTAGCATGCGTCTCGGCGTTCTTGTCTACGGCTTTGTACTGCATCAAAGCTTTGATATCTAATAGTCTGTTTCAAAGGTCACCTTCTGTGGCACAATCCAGGGCACCCATTGCGCATGCTGCTTCAACTTCTTGGTCCGTGTGGGCATGATCTCAGTAGACTAGCTTTCGAGCTGGGAAGGAACCGCTATACAGCTCAGTCTTCTACATGTGAACACCTCTCGCACTGTCCGGTACTTACTCCCTTTGAGAGGTTGTTGAACACTTCGCAGCTACAGGCTCTCGTTCATACGCGCATTCAACAAAGTACTCAGAGCTTCCGAAGTATTTTCTCGAGGCTTGGCGCCATGGCCCAGGTAAGCTAACAGAAGAAGTGAATGTCTCGGGTGCTGAAACTGTCCGTTTTAAGGCGGACTTCACCCATGACTCTGGAGAAACTTAGTCTTTCGTGACTATGAGGGCTTCCGAAAGGCGTTCAACAAGACATTGCCCTCGCTTGCTTCTGCTACCTTCTTTGATGTTTTCAGGATTCGTACTACATTCACTGCGACTTCCCTTGGCGTTTGTTCTGAGCTGCGGAAAAAAGAAACTTTGGAATTGTTCCTCTATATACATATGGGTATTTTCCTCCCTGGATACCCAAATCTCCTTGTATTCTACTACTGGAAGACTAATTTGCCAGTGAACTCGCACTAGCTATCCTCAAGGCGTATTTATGCCAGTCCTATTTCTTGCCCTTTGATACCTATCTTTCAGCCTTAACGCCTCGCTTTCGTCTTGGCACGGCTACTGAAAAGGTCTTTCCTGTGCACTCAGCTAGCTGATGACAACAATACGATGTCTGACTACAAACACACTTTTCTGTCCTGGTATCAAAGATTAGAAGCATCCAAAGCTGTCTGATAACTTGGTTGATATGCTGAATGTAGCTGGTGAGTCTGTCAAATCCGCGTGTCTCTTTCGATGTCCCATTTGATTTGAGGCTAACAAAGATCAGACCCACTTCGATGACTTGATCCGAAGCGGAAGATCGATGGGAGTCGTCCACGCCATGTCAGCAGCCATGCAAAATCGCCAGGTTCAAAAACCCTCCATCGGTGAGAGAGTCGAGAGCGACCAGCCAAATGAACACCTAAACATATCAGCGCACATCGCATAATTCCAAGGAATCTCAGAAGTCAACAGAGAAGACCGCAGCCAGACTTTCGCTTCTACTCTCGACTGAGGGTTGACTCCCAAGCCCAAGATGGCAAAAAGTTGACCGAGATTAAGGTCACGACAGTAGGTGGTCGCGGCTCTCCAGCCGATGTGCAGCTTGACTGTCGGTTTAGTAGAGATTTCCGACTCGCGGACCGTGCGAACAAGGCTTTCTGTCTCTCTGAGATTAGTATGTTAGATTCGTTGATGACGCAAATCTACAATTGCATGTTTGCGCTTGAATAACCCTGCTTTCACTCAGAACTGTCTCAGCTTCATTCGCATTTGGAATACTTTGATAGCGAAAGGGGCGCCGGTGATCGTCTACAGAGCGTTGCGCTGCAACTCCATGTTGAAAAAGCCTACTTCAATAGCTAGGCTGTCGGTATGATCCTGCAGATGAGAAGCGCCAGTGGCACTTTGAAGAGTCAGTTGCAACTTTTGGTACGGAACCAGGTGGGGAATGGCTTAGTCTGTGCCTCTCACAATCTTTCACCGGTTAATCATCACCCCTGCAAGAATTGTTCAGAGTCACGGTGGAGTTTTTGAATTACATTCTACGAGAACATGATAGTAATCACCCTATTCTTTGTACCAGATCTCCCTGTCAACATGCGACTCAGTCTCCAAACTTTCAGTGCCCTTGAAATCTACTCCTATCTTCTCTGGAATTTCACCCTGGCGAGGATGAGAATCTGGACGGCAATCTGTCCACAAGATTTGTCTCTTTTCGTTCTCTCAAGTTTAGCTTGAAAAGGATCTAAACCCTTGAAACTTCTGCATCTGTTAAAATATGGCTTGCAATTCAAAGTATACTACTGAGTGAGTAAAAACCTATCGAGTCGGGGGCGATGAGAACGTGTTGTTACAATCGCCGCCCTAGCAATACTCTGAAAGTACAGAACGGACATGGAAGAGTCTCGAAACAAATACCTCTCAGTTGCTTGACTTCTTGCGCCCTCAGCATCCACCAGATCGGGTCCTCCAGGCTGGAAAGGTCTCGTGTTTGGCTTGCAAGCATCACGAAGAGCTCACCACGCTACTCTCAAGATCGGCGAGTTCAAAAAGGCCACAAAAGCATTCAAGGTCAGTATCACCATGATCGCAACGTCTTGCTACTCAGTCGATGGGACGTGTAATCCTCAGCTCAATTTGTCGAATATGACCACTGTGGGAGGTAGAAATGGGGCTATCATGAAGACTCTCAGATTCAACATGCAGTGCATACGTATCCATACTCAACACCGCCTTGATCCAGAAACTTGGCGCTAGTCATAAGTCGCTCACCGACGAAGATTCCGACCATACTGAGAATCAAGGGGATCCCTGCGTCATCCCCGTACCTTGACCGGCTCACTCGCCTGCAGATCACGCACAAGGTTCAGAGCACTGCACGTTACCTGTTTCACACTCGACTTATGGCGCTGAGAGTGGCCGACAGAGAGGCTGCTGAGAGCCAAGCCGGAGCATGTTAGGTTGTTCCCTCCGAAGAGTATGGACCTTTCCGATGCCTGGACTGCCGCATTGGTGCGGTCTAATCTTGGGAGGAGTTTCAGGTTGCGACTCTCCCGAATGATCACATCTCGCCTTCAATTGGCACCAAAATACGATCAAGTCACCGAAGTTAGTACAGTTACAATTCCTTCAATCGCTACCCGCCTGACCGATCGTTAGAACATCATTATCACTGATGGCGGTTTCAGCGCTTTCATGATCCACATGGTTCTCATTCGTTCATTCCACGCAGGTTGCAAGTTGTACATTGCTGAATGGCATTATGGGAGTTTTCTTGCGCTGGGGTACGAGAAATATGCCTGTTAGGCCTCTATTTAGGCCTATTCAGGCTTGCTATCCCCGGCGTGAGACGGCCCAACCACTATCTACACTCTACGTGGGCCCATATACGTGCATTGATGCGTGTTTTTCATGAATGGGACAACTAACGTGAGCTTGGGAAGCGACCTGTGGACTGAGAGCGAAGGACTGAGGAAGCTAAAAGAGGGTGAGGATAAAGTTCCAAGGACCAAGCCGGGTTCCAAACGTCCCTTGAGCTACAACTTCTGGCGATATACAAGGGTCCGCGGCGAGTCTCACAAGGGGGCCCCGTCAAATACAGAGTCATATGAAGAAAACAGCGATAACAGTGGTCAGCTTGCAAGCCATTCCCAACGAACTCTTCTTTGACTCGAAACTCGTCTGTGATCCTGGCACCTCCCTGATGATTCTAACCGGATGTTTTCCAAAGCTCTTCGATCTGTACTTGGGAGGATCCTACCAGAGCTTACCTCGGAGCCGGACGGGCTTACGTAGCCAATATTCTTGATGTTAGAGGGACATGCCTAGAAGAGCCGAATGGAAGTTCTCAAGTCAACGTATGCAATACTTCCTTCATTAACGGTTCGATCAAGAAGCTGTTGGGTAAACAGACCGAGGTCTTCCCACTTCGGCATCGCATGTCCGTACTCTGACCAGCGACGAGAGACGCGTAAGGCATTGTTGAAGGCTGGACTGCAGAACATCCGAGTCGGCACAATCGAATTCTGGCAGGGCGAAGAGATTGACCTGATGATTATGGACCTCGTTCACGCGGGAAATGACCACGGCGCTCTCGACTTCCTAGGCAAGAAGGAGCGTCTGAAATGTTCTTCTTACTCGACAGACCCAGCATCTATTCGTCTATGGAGCAAGGAAAAACACGCCACTCGGAAGATCCGGTGCGGTATTTCTGGGCATCACTTCGACCTGGAAAACACAGCTCGATCGCAGCATGAGCCGTAAAGCTCAGCGAAGTGTACTTCAAGCTCCCGAAATGGGAAGAACAAGCCAGAAAGACCTCTCTACTTTGGTCACCATCTACGAAGCTGGAGAGAGCCTTGAAATCAAAATGGACCAAGGAGTGTCACGACCAGAATCGAGCGGAGATCAAAGCAGAGATGTTGACGAATCTGGCTTGAAGTGGGCTGATAAGTCTTCCGAAACTGCTATGCTCTCTCCACAATACGTGTTTGCTTCTTTCTAGCATATCATGGACAAACGTGTTCACGTCTCTGCTTTCTATCAAATTCGGGCTCTGGTTTTTGGCAGATTCACGGAGCTTTGCTAAGGTTATCTAGCACCCGAGGACGTGGAAAAAGAAGCTGAAAGCGAAGCTAGCCAAGCGGCGCGTGCGACCCTGAAAAGCAACCTTCAACAACAGATCAACCAGGAATTGAAGGATCAGCTCCGAAAGGAGCTGAGAGGAGAGATGGAGGCGAGCATAAGGTCGGAGATTCAACAGGAGGTGAAGGCGGCCTACCAGGCCAAACTGGCAAGTCTGGACTGATGGAAATGGTCTGCTCAGTGCTGGCAAGTCTCTGTGAATGAAGCCCAATTTGATACGTTAAGCGGTTTATTTGGTCTTCTATCCTATGCGAATTACTGATGACTTAACGATTGCGATACTGGTTTGCTATTTGTGCTAGGAGAAGGGGAAGAGATCTATTGGACGACAGTGTATATTAGCAGCTTGGTTCTCGCATGGGAGCTCGCTTCTAAAAAGGGGGTGCTTTGTGGGGGTGGCCATTGCCACTCCCAAGGAAGTCGCATTTTGCTAAGCTAAATGTGGCTAGCACGATCACATAAATAGCAATCTCGTAGCAAGAAAATACGAACATCTTACACACCACGGAAATCACCCTTTTCAACGAGTTGGTTTTTTCAGGCAGGGGGTGGGCTGTTAGGTTGCTTTGCAGACGTCATTTAGCGTATTCAAAACACTCTAGAATGCTTGGCACCGGAGATCTTTCACATCACACCCAAATTCGTACTGTAGCATTGATATCTCTCCGCAAAATCATTCAATAACACTGCTATCGTTATATACTGAAGTCTTGGCTTGTTCCTCAGCCCTCCAATCGCCATGCCTCTTCCCCTTGGTACTCCTGCTCAGGCGAAAGCCGAGCATCTTCTTCATTCCTACTGGAGGTCTTCGCAAGTAGCCAAAGAGATCCGCTTTTCTCTCAGTACTGTTTATAGCTGGAATCAGCGCCTACAAATGTATCGCACTATGGGCCCCGGCGGTTCGATGACTACTACGTTATTGATGCGTTTAGGAGGCATGGCTGAGGTTTATAGCTTCAAAGTTGACCAAATGCGACTATTTGCGATGTGACTACTTGATTTGAATGATTTTGCGGAGAGATGTCTATGCTACAGTACGAATTCGCTCTGGTGCCAAGCATTCCAGAGGGTTTTGAATACGCTAAATGACTTTTACTTGGCGGAGCAAGCATTTAGCACTTTCGTTTGGTAGATAGAACTTAACGAATTTAATGACTATACTCACCTGATGATTGATAGTGAAAATTAGTCTTCTTCATGTACTAGACGCACTTTCCGCAGGTCGCATGCCAAAACTTCATTCTCGAAAGTAAATATCTTTTTAGGTGTCACTATGTCGTCGTGACGATTTACTTCGCACGCACTGAAGCCGCTTGTAATCGCCAGAGAGGTGATGAGACGGACTTTGTCAAAATTTAGATCTGGTAGGAAGAGCGATGTGTAGGTTGCATGAATTCTTCTATCTCAGGACTCCCCTGGGCCAGTATTTGTACCCCTCACAAATTCAGAAAATAAAAGACCGCTACACCATTGTACCAGCGCCAATAGGAATCGAACCTATTACGGATTAGATACCCTCTGAACTAAATTAGGTGTTTGTTCCCACAGGTGGCTGGGAGGAGGCAGATTGAACCGTTTTCTTAATTGTATCTCAAACTTTGGTGGCGGGTTTCCACACACCGAGATGTTGGAAAGCGGACGGTGGTCTGAATGTCAATGATTTGGAGGAAGGTATGTACATAGAATCACCGCGATCACAACCAACACTGCCGTTACCCAACCGTTGTCCCAAAAACCGTGAACGCCTCATTCTACCGGTGACAAGACCCTGCCATTTCCGTTTCCATTTCCATTAACATTGCCATTTCCGTTCAAGAGTTCCTTCATTTTCTCGGCCGAAGGCCCTAACTCCGGATCCCGATTCGCACTCTCGTACTCAAGCGCTTTTATAAGCTTATAGAGCAGGACTGCGAAAAGAGAGCCGCAGATGGGGCCAACCCAGTAAATCCATTGCGTGGTGTAGAAGGTGTGGCTGGCGACGGCGGGACCGAAGGAGCGAGCGGGGTTGAGGGAGCCGCCGGTCCAGAAGACGCCTGGGGGTGGATGTTAGCGGTATTCGCTTGTGATGAAATGGGACGTCTGGGGCTGGAAAGTAGCGGGATTGGAGTGCTCCAGGCTCAGAAATCGGTAAAGACTCACCTACGAGCTCCGCGATGAAAAGACTCAATCCGATCCCTACTGGCGCGATGAAGTTCCCCTGGTGCTTTTCTGCTGCCAGCATGAATATCGTGAAGACGAGTTGCGCGGTCAGAATCATCTCTATAATGACGCCCTGGGCGATTGTGGTTCCGCCTCCAAGCGTGGTTGAGACCGCAAGTTTGCCTTGGAATAACGCCTGTACGATATATGCCGCGACTATGCCCGCGACGATTTGGATGACAAAGAGGAGAATGCCGCGAACGAGTGAGATGGCGCCGATGAGAACCATGCCGACCGTTACCTGGGTATGTTAGCCTTGGCCTGGAATACTGGAAGCTCGCGGCGCAGGCCAACTCCATGGGACTTTGATCACCCACAGCTGGATTGAACAAGCCTCCGCTGATCCTAAAGAAGACCCATGCATTGACGGCCAGCGAGAAACCGAAGCTCAAGCTTATATACAGTAACTCGGAAGGGTTCTTCTCCGCGACTTGTGTAATGACTGTAGTCCCTGTGTTGGTGTTGGAAGAAATATTGGCGACTCTGCAGCGGTCCTCAGCAATCAGCATCTCCTTCTTATGACCGGCGTGTGACTCGTAAGACATGCTCTGACGGTATAAGGTGAAACGTGCTCCAGAAGGCATTTGGGAGTAATATGGCGGTAAAGACAGAGCAAGGGATGAATTGGATGACACCTACTGGGTGCCAGCAAAAGCGAAGAAGAGGAAAGAGATGGTGCCGACGAATTCACCTATAACGGCGACGGTGTGCCCACGGGTTGTGGGAGGAAGGGTACGGAGAAGTCGGCGCACCGGCCCGTCTACAGGGGCGGTGATGGGTGCGCCGGTGTTCATGGTGAAGGAGTCGGTTTATTGGGTGTGAGTGCTAGGATGCAAGGAAGAATGATGGATGCAGCGAACGTGGCGACATACGTTAGAAACATCATCCAAGCATGGCGTCATCTCGAGAAGCTGGACGCGCCGGCACTTCCCATCCCCACATTGTTTTGGATTTTCTCTATCAACAAACACAAGTCGGAAGATTTACCGGAAGATTATTGGCTTTTTCGACGCCCCCAGATTCATGGGAAGTTTAGCTACAAAGCTTCTTTGTTGTAGGCGTAAAGTCTCAGCCACAGATCGTCTTGGGCTGGACTGCTTCCGGCTTTTCATCATTAGGGTCAAGTGATGGACATCTTCACTTCTCTCGGTCGTCTCATCCATTCGTGGCACTGGTATTTTGTCTTTCATGAGGATATAACTGTCCTTCGACTGCCTTTACTCTCCAAGCACATGTTGGCCAGGCACTGTGCAAATTTCAGCCGAAGAAATTTGTCAGGAAGAACAATCAATCCTCTATAGAAAAGACTACCCAAATTCCTCGTGTTGTAAGAGCTAAAGTAATGCTAAGAGCCAACGATCAAATTTGCCGTTTCCGGCCGTCTGGAAGTTCGGATCGTCCGAATGCGGTTAGTGCAGATCACGGCATCGATCGTCGATTTAGCGTATTCAAAACCGTCTGGAATGCTTGGCACCGGAGATCTTTCACACCACACACCCAAATTCGTGCTGTAGCATAGACATCTCTCCGCAAAATCATTTTAAATCAAGTAGCCACATCGCAAATAGTCGCATTTAGTCGGTTTTGAAGCTATACAACTACAAACAGTACCAAGAGAATAGCGGATCCCTTTGACTACTTGCGAAGGCCTCCAGTAAGAGTAGAGAAGATGCTCGGCCTTCGCCTGAGTAGAAGTATCAAGAGGGAGAGGTATGGCGATTGAGAGGCTAAGGAACATCCCAAGACTTCAGTATAGCTTCATTTTTTTCATTTTGGGATCTATAATAATAATAGCAGTGTTGTTGAATGATTCTGCCCTGCGCCCAAGCAACAGAAACGGTGTCAAACATCCAGGCTTGGAGCGTAAGTAAGAAGAAATTTCATGTGGGAAGAGGGGATACCATCAGAAGAAAAGAATGCATCTGCATGGCGATACCGTCGAAAGTGCTTTGGTATCTTTTCTTATTGAATTCCAGCTGTCTCGATCCCCTTCCTTATGATCGCTACTTACCGCTAGTCTCAATCAACCCTGTAATATTAGGCAAAGTAATGAAGCCCGAAGGCGCTGAAGTCGCTCCTGCAACAGTGGGCGGGCCGTCCGGGATAGTCCTGTCCTCCGCCGAGCCACTCGTCATAATGAGAACTCCAATGCTTCCTTGGTCCCCTAGCAGCATTTCAAGGTCAGTGTCGAGTTCTTCGGTATTCAAAAAGAAAAACGACACCACAGGTTTCATGCCCTCTATTCCGTCCGCCCAAAAACCAATAGAAGAAGATTTCCTCTCCTTCATCGAAACATCACTCACCCGCAGCAACCCATCCCGCCTTCCCATGCCGCACACACTCAAAATCAACCTTCATCGCCGCATGCCACATCGCATCAAACGTCGCCACATCCGTCTCCTCATACCTTTCCCTGAAATCCGACCCGGGCAGTTCCCTGGGTTGGAATCGATCCATCATGGCTATCGTGACCACGCAGGTCCCATACTCGTATTTCCTCGGCGTCATTATCTTGGGCAAATCGGCGTCCTCGTGGTCGTAGCGCTCAGGGACGTGAATTCGAACCGCTCGCTTTCGCGCGGGCGGACTTCGTTGTTGTAGATGTAGTCGGTGATGGCGAGGCAGTCTCTACGGTAGAACCCGTTTGCGACCCAGGTGCGCGCTTCGGTGCATAGGGTGCCGATGTTATTGCTGGGGAGGGTGAGGATAGGGGTTGTGGTGTTCGCAATCGGAGTTGCGGTCGTAGAGATGAGGAGGTTTAGGCTTTGTATCACGAGGTGGATACTTGCTAGAGCTGTTCTGAAAGCTAGGGGCATGCTGAATGTCTGTCGAACTTTGCTCGGGTCCAGCGGGCCTTGACGGGTATTGTATTCGGTTGCATACGCTATGGCATGTATCGGCTATGCGCATCCTCAATCTCCAACGCTAGTCGTCCATCCATCGCGCTCGCTCATCGATGGCGCCGCGGCAGTGAGTCCCCCTCTGCAATAACCCACAACCTCCGATCCCACGAACGCTAGCGTCCACGCCGATCCATCACTCCTCCCAACCTCGCTCTCTCCTCCCAACCGCCTCAGGAGGCGGACTCTGCGAATACCACAACACCCCCGCGGCCACGGTCCCCTGCTCGACCACATCAACATCGAAATCCACCGGATGCAACCGCCCCGGTTCGCCCCCCTCCATAAACCCCAACAACCCATCCAACACCCACTCCAACTGCAGCCACGTGAACACCTTGCCCTCGTTGCCCCGGATGCGTACCGCAATCGTGTCCCGCCACCGCTGGCTGTACAAGCTGTGGAACCACGGCAGCGGCGCGACGGCCTCGTCGGGATGCCAGGCGACGCTCTCTCTGATCGCGGCGTGCGCGCCCGAACAGAGCGCTTCGACGAGCGAGGCCGCGAACCAGCTTTCGCCAACGTGCGCGATGCGGAGGGAGATGTCCGCGCCGGGTGCGGGGACGGTGATGGGGAGGGAGACGGTGGTGTGAGGGGCGGTCGGGGTGGCGTCCAGTAGCGGCGGCGGTGGTGTCCGTGGCGTCGAGTCCTGTCGCTGGAGAATGCCGTCCGAGATTGAGCTCCTGGGTTCCGCAGGGGCAAGAACCGCGGCTGATGCTACTGCGAGAGCGGCACTGCTGAGGAGGAGTAATGAGAAGGACGTGCGCGCACACGTTGGATAATCGTATCTACCCCCATTCGCGCCATACCCCCATTTGCGCCATCTTAAATCCGATAAATCCGACATAGATAGCTACCACTACCATAGCTACCACTACCACTCATTCAAATAGCCTACTATCAATGTCTATCATAATGGCTAATACTACGGTACCATAGTCGCCGTCTATAGGCCTGGCATAGTAGGTATCCCTACCCTAGACTCAAATGTGGCCTACTTAAGCCCAATTAAGAAAAAGACTACTCCACCTCTCACATTAGGCCTACTACTACTATTAAACCTCGCTCTATTACAGTAATAATAGCGAGATAGAAGAGATAAAAGAGGTAAGAAAATAGTAGAAGAAGAGATAGAAGAAGAAGAGGTAGAAGAAGAAGAGGTAGTAGAAGAAGAGGTAGTGACGGTTTTTTCAAGACATGATAGGCCGATAAGGCCCAAAAAATAATGATTTAGGCTCTCCGATATAGAAGCCTTGGTAGCAATGATAGATCAATATTATTGTGCTAGTTTGCCATACAAATTTGGTGAAAGGTAGGCATTTTGGTGTTGCGTCGGAATTATCGGATTTAAGATGGCGCAAATGGGGGTATGGCGCGAATGGGGGTAGATACGATTACATCTTCTCTCGGCGTATCGATTCCTCGCAAGGAACATACTCTACATCCAGTGCCCGATGTCGTGATGTTTTCACTCCACTCTGTTCCGTCGCCAGAATTCCGTTTACGAGTCGCTGGGTAGGGATGCGCATAAGCGACCGACCTTCTTCTCTTCACGGGTTTGGCCCACTCGGCGCGTCTGTGCGGAGTAGGTAAGATCTACCCACGCCTATATCTCTCGTCGGCTAGGATTTCGGCCAGGGTTTGGCTGCCATTCGGGAGTCTGCGGTAGAAGTACCGGCCTCGGACTCAAGGACTCGGCGCGTGTAGAACGAACGTCACGGTTGTTTGGATCGGTGTTTGGTGTAGGCCGCAGATCTAGAATGAGAGATGGTTTGTTTGGAGAGGATTGGTTTCTTGATTGATTGTCGTCATATGGTTAATGTTATTGAATGGGGTACTCGCCTTGCCTTGTCTTTTTATGCACACAAGATATTGCTTTTTCGAATCTCACCACTCGTGCCATCCTTTACACTTATCACTTCGCTCAAAGGGATCTTGAGAGAGCCAGCTGCGTCACGTATGCAGAGCTCATCAATGGATTTGCAGCCCCTTCTTTTCAAATAGAAAACGGTAGCTTCACAATCATCAAAATCCCCACTTGCGTAGCTCCACTCTCGCTTCTCCGACCCCTAATCCATCAAAAAACACCGGTCGCTTCAACCCCCCTTCCCCTTCGCTTGATCGTCATAAACACCAAGATCCCCAGACCCAGCGCCGTCGCCCCTTCCCTTCCTCCGTCTCCGGCCTCTTCATCCGCGAAACACACCCTTCCGCCCCACACTCACACACCCGATTCCGCCAATACCCAACCCCATAATCCACCGTCAGCTCCTCAAACACCTCAATATCCCTCACCGCCTGCACCACAGTCCGATGCCGGCCCCCCAACGTCACCGACGCAAACCTCGTCGACGCCTCGCACGAGTGGTTGACAAAGCGCGTCCAGTTCCCGAACCGCCCCGCGTTGATCGTCGCGACCACCTCATCGGTTCGCCGGCCCGGTTCGCTGAAGTCGAGCACGTAGGTCGGATCCACGGCGTAGGCCGCCGGGTGCACCTCGCCGACGTACTCGCCCAGGATGGCGCCGGTGGGGATGCGCTCGAGGGCGCGCACGCCGACGCCTTTGGGGCCGTAGGCGCGGAGCTCGGTGAGCGGGTGCCAGGTCCGGGCGTGGAAGAGGCAGGCGCAGGGGGCGTGGGGGCCGCTGGTCGGGCAGGGGTGGGGGCTCGGGTCGCGGACGCGGGTGGGGTCGGAGGGGTAGGGGCGGTCGGCGGGCCAGCTGGGTGGGCGAGGGCTGTTGGCGAAGGAAGCGGCGCGGTAGATGTTGGTGTGGATGTTGATTTGCGGCTCGCCTTCGAAGTGGGGAGGGTGGACGTCGGAGAGATTGTCGGTGACGACCCATTTGTGCGGGTGCACTTCGTCCCGTGGCTCGCTGGGGAGGTGGCGTTCGAAATCCTGGGGGAGGAAGGGAGGGGAGAGGCCGTTGAGGCGGATTAGCTCCGTCCACCATTCTAGGCTGTGCCCTTGCGCGAAGACGGTGAGGCTCACGGCATTCTCGGCGATGCTGGTGGAGATTGCGTTCCAGGCTTCTGCGTCGAGGAGGGTTATCGCGTCTTGGAAGGTAACGGAGTGGGCTAGTATGCCTAGTAGCGTCCAGTCGTGACGAGACGCCAGCTTGCTGCATCGCTCGCAGACGGGACCGTCAAAAGATGAACTTCTGACCGTGTTATCGCCGTGTTGCCAAATCCTGCTGGATTCGGGGCTTGCAGGGTTGCGTTGGTAGGCGAGCACGGCTTCTGTCGATGAATTAGCAATTGTATATGTAGAATCGAGTGCCCTGACCTACTTATAGCCGTACCCACACCATCTGATACCTTTCGAAGTGCGAGATCAATCCCACCGAGCTCTCCGAGAGAAAGTCTATCGGTCTGAGTTTCTCCAGAAGCGGCTTTTGAGGCTTGAGCGGCCGCGACAGTGTACAGATCCTGGTAGATCTGCGCCATCAGCCTATTCACATTGTATTTAGAACACCTACCGACATCCCTAGAGGAGCTTTTATCGGCCTCCTTCTTGGAGTCTTTTTCTTTCAGAACGTCAAAAAGCTGTGCTCGTACTGTCTCATCATCAGCACTGATCTCGCGGGTGGAACCGAAAAATGTCTGCCATTTCTTGTCTCCCCGCGGAATTTCCCCCTTTGTTGCTTTACAAACCCCACCTGAAGTCTCCGTTCTTGCTGATTGTTTCTTTACCCCGGAATCGGTAGGATGCGACGCGGCTTTCTTGCTAGCTGTGGAGCTGCCAGAGCTTCCGCTCCTTGGAGGGGACTTCATGGTTTCGAAGAGGGTGTTGAGGCTGCTCAAATGAAGAAGTCGCAAACGGTGAGTGTCCTAGAGTTGGAGAAGTTGGCTGGGCAATGATGATATAGAAGAGTGTTAGAAGTCAGTGGATATGAGAAAGAAAAATTGAATTTGACTAAAGCTTAGGAATTCTTCGCCCATGTCAAATAGCAAAAACAATGGCCATTGTGTAAAGGTCCCAATTCGAGTAGTGAAATAAAAGCGAGACATGAAGGTTTGTGTCATAAAGGTTTGTGAGGTTCCCGTGCCTGCGTGAAGAGACACGAGAGGACACGTGCGCCATACAACAACACAATAGAGCGCACAATGCCAATGACAGTAGCACAAGCGAACAAAGGCTGCACCAGAGTGTGCAAAGAGAACTTCATCCGATTGCTCTCGCTACGAAAGTATGACTCCCGAGAACAAAGGCACAGTGTCACAGTTCAGGGCTGGCAACGGTGGAAATAGTTGGTTTTGGAGGGCAAACTGCACCAACTACTAGATTTGGAAATCGAAACTGCACCAACTACTATATATTGAAAACCAGTTACCCCATCATCAGTGTAACTGATAGTGGAGTAGTTGTAATAAACGATAAAATATCGCTCAGTGGGGGCCCAATATATCAAGTGTCAAGCATGCGGGCTATCAGAATAAGTGGCAGTTCCGCCAAGAAGGGTAACGAGAATATTAAAGGCTAAGTCAACAATGAAAGGATTTTGAAACTCACTTTTGCTTGTAGGAATATAGGACTACTAATCGTAGCAACTTTGTAATTGAAATAATCTTCTTGAAACCTCTTCTTGTTGAGTTCTCGTCGATAACTCGAAGCGCCAAGACTGCCACTTATTCTAGTGGTCAGCCTGCAAGCCTTATCAGCCCTATGAGCCCTACTTCAGCCCTATAAATGTTAGCCTATTACCTAGCTCTTTTGACTTAAAACCGACTTCTTTATTTTTGTTTGTGAATTGCTCCTTTGTCAGTTGAATCAGTTGGTTTTGAGGTTAGAACTACACCAACTACCAATCGGTAGACTTCAAACTGCACCATCAACTACGAGAAACTTATGGTTTCACGGGTAGTAGACCAGTTAGTTGGTTCACCATTGCCAGCCCTAGTGTCACTGAATAGCGAGTGAAGTCCGAGCCGTCGCCACAACCTGATACCGCTGTGGGAACCGAGTAGCCTCCTCCTTAGAAAGCAAGTAAGAAGGGATCAAAGGTGATGTATAACCTCTAGAGCTCTTTTAAGGGAAATGCTATAGGTTCTTTACCATGACTTACCCACATCCTATCGAGACTTTTGACGGATCCCATACTGAATTGACGGCTACATTGTATAGCGATAATGAGAATGTTTGCAAAGAACGGTCATACTCGGCGATCGTACGAGTACAACTGACCTAAGGCTCTAGTAGCCCCTTTTTGATGGTATGCTCCGGCCTTTGAGCCTTGACGTACCTAATTTCCTCCCGTTCTTGCTCAAAATGCACACTACCGTACCGGAGCAATTCTGCAAACGTCCCGGGCGCTACATCCTTCCCCTGGTTCTCTTCCATATCCCACAGAACGCCCAGCGCGAGTCCCTTGGTTAAATTCTTCCCATGCGTAATCTTCTGCATACTTGATTGCGTCAGCAGCCTCCAAATGGTTTTATATGCCGCCTGGTATTCCTCTGATTCTGAGCCTGCATCGCATCTCGTCGTCAGCACGTTGAAAAGGTCCTGCCCCGAGAAACCAATAGTTGCTTCCGCGCCCCAGTCCTCGGACAGTGAGTCGAACAGCAGGACTTTGTCCTCGTAGTACTCCGCGCCGTTGAAGCCGTCGTTCGGATCTTCGAGCATGCACAGTCGCAGCCAGGCCAGAACCTGCCCGATGTATTCCATGACCGTGCGGGGTTCGACCTTAAACTCCCAATGGTATTTCATTGCCTGTGAGTCCTCGAATTTGAATTGCTTGCCGAACGAGACCAAAGGATTTTCAGTCATACCACCGGGGTTGATGCGGTCCTTCCATAGGTGAACGAAAAGATCATGCCTTGGGATGTCAGTATATGGAAGGAAGAGAGAAGCGCTAGAAGAGAAGAAAGCGAATAGCGACGAAGATTAGCAGGCATCGAATATAGTAGATCATATTGAGCACTGTCCTTGATAATCTTCATGCACCTCGTCGTATCCTTTCCCCCTTTTCATGCAAACGAGAAGTACGTGAATGTTGACTTACCAGCGCTTGATGAATGGATTACCTTTCCGGCTTGCGACGAAATGGTTTGCCATGACTGTGCCATACATCCATGGGACGGAGACCTCGAAAGGCGAATCAGGGTCCTCAAGCTGCCTCCAGCAGATGTTCTCAAGCCGACGGATAAGAATGATACCGACATCCATCCAGACGCCGCCGTAAAGGAAAAGACACGCGCCACGCAAAAAATCCGCACTGTGCGGGCCGGTATAGGGACCGTCCATGGTGCCCTTGACGAAGGTTTCCGGGAGCAGTCCTGCAGAGACCCAGTTGAGTGCATTGTTTGGCGAGCTGGGAACATTGTCGAGGATACGGATGGACCACGACGGACCGCTTAGGCGAACCCAGTTCACGACATTGCGCTGGCACCAGGCGGGCATGGAGCGGACGCCGGAGTGCCAGTAGGTCCATACATTCTTCTCCGAGGTGACGGGCGCATGCTCGGACAGTGAATCTAGAATCTCCTCGTTTGATCGTGTGTCAAGAGCTTCGACGTAATGGAGGTCAGAATGGAACTCAGCTGGGATAGGTACCTGGGATTCTTGCATTTTGAAATCCTGTGGACACTGAAAATGTCCCGATTGCAGCTGCTATGAAAGATGAAAGGTACCTCGAACCTTCTGGACAACTGAATACTTTGTCTTTCACCGGCACCATTTCGGGTCAGCTGACGTGAGACCAGTGGTGGCCCTGGAACTAGGGTGGTGCTAATTGCCACTCGACTACGGGAGCTTCCGGGCAAAAAGTCGTCCCTAACTGAAAATATGTCCATGCGGACTGAGCTAAGGTAAGTAGCCGTTTCATCTCGACCGTGGTCAGACCAGTCTCGATAAATCCTCTTTCACAAATCTCGCCGGTCAGGTAAATGTTGCCGTCAGCTTGACTCACTTTTACACGGAAAGGTCGATGGAGACTACTGTTTCACGAACCCCATCAAGTACGGAAGACCGAACCTGAAATCCCCCGCAGTAGAGACACTCCCGGCTGTTTCTCCGTGTGTTAGCCGACTATTGCCTCCGCGATGATGATGATGGCTTTGCATATCAGCAAACAGTGAGATCTACAACTCAGAGGCGTTCAACGTCGGTTCCATAGCAACGAGTTCAAGAAAGCCAACAACATCGTCACCAAGTTCCGAACTGCCATCCAATCAGCCAGATCCAACAGATCAGTGAGCGACAAACAGATGCGATATCTGGAATCTTTGGCCGACGCCACATAATGTGAGTATTCGGAGTCCCGGGATTTGGACCGAGTCGAAACCGAGCGAGCGCTTCACAATGGTCCGGATGGAGTCTCATTGCTGGTACCATGAAAGATTTTCGTAATTCGAAACAATTGGAGCAAAGATCCTAGACTCCTTCAATTTCCTCGTCCTGGATACGACCTGCGTCCAGATCTCCCCAGATCTCTTGACCCTGCCTACTCCAAGCCCCGATATCGGAAGACCCTCGATGCCGCTCAGTCGAGAAATCACAGGATCATGGACGAAATCGTCCCATGACTCAAGACAGGAGGCAAGGAGCAGAAGTGAGTGTATGGGGCAATGTCTCAGTATTGTGGGAACGAGTGATAAGTTTGGTTGAAAAGTCTCGGAATACTTCTGAGATTATTTTCAGGGTATTTTGCCCTCTCCTGAAGACCGAGGAAGTTTCTTTCGCTAGCGGAAGACATCCGTAGCGACATTGCTGACTACCCACTGTATTATAAGGGAACAGGAGATTAAGGCCATTGTGATCAGAAATATTCAAAAAGACGCGACTTGAAAGAGTCTATATGGGAATGTCAGAAGGAAGACGGTTGCTAGCTATTCACTTTTGAAAAGAGAATTCCCTGTTGGTAGCTGCTGCCGCACATGAACGATGCTCCCGTGGTCAAGAAGGTACTAAAATCCATCAATCGAATCGAAAGAGCCACCCATGCCCAGCTGTAGAAGGAACACTGTTTCGCAAAGGCACTGAATCAAGCTAGCCGCCCACCGCAGACCCACGCCTTACTCAATCATATCAATTGGGCGTCGGGCTGCAGACGTCCACAGTGGTAGTTGACTCAGGCTCAACCACAAAGGTGGTGGTTTCAATCGGCTAGAGTTCGTCATCAGCAAAGATTTCATATGCTCAGCAGGCCAAATTAGAAAGCGAAACGTACAAGCCCGTGTCCATAGCAGTCTCTCGGAATGACGGTCACCTCACTGCAACCTTGGCAATCAAAGGACTGGGTGGCGGTAGCAACGAACGACACCTCGTACACGGTGATCGTCTTAACGTCACCTCCTGGAGGAGGCGCGCAGGGAGTGGCGGTGAAGGTGCATGGCTGTTCTGGCCCCCCTGGGTTGATTGAGCCGCCTTGGGCTAGGGCGAAGCTGTGTCTATCATCAAGATGTCAGAGAAAGGAAGGACGCTGCGTAGCGAGGTGGGTGGGGGTATTTACATTGTTGCTGCGTAAGCGATGATGCTTGCAATGATTGCTTGGTATTTCATATTGAGCTTGAGGGTGGTAAATTGATGCCTTATGGGTCCGAGTTAATCTTAGCTAGATTATATTTGAGGGGAGGATGACTAATAAGGATTTGCTGTTGATGGATGATCGTGGGGGACTCAATGAGGGAGTGAGGCTTTATATATGCTTTTAGGGATCACAGAGGGGCCATTTAGCTCCGTCTGATGCCTGTGCTGAGTATGACGTTCGACCTCCGATCCTGGGCTGAGCAAGGAAAAATTTGGAAATACAGAGGTCCCCAATGTTGACTGGATGGTGGAGGCTCTTGCCCCGGCAGCTGACTCACGCCACATGTTGTGTGGAGCAGTATGCGAGCTGGAAATAAGCAGTCAAATTGATTTGGCGAAAAAGTTGGCTAGGAACCGGGTCCGTCTTACTGTCACATAGAGCCGGGACCGTAAGAAGTCCATATGACCATCACGATGCAGAAGAGTTGGATTAGATTGGTTGAAAGTCATGCACACCTGATTTTAGCACGATGATCGTAAAGAAGACTTCATCGATCTAGATCTTGATGAACAGAATCCTATGAATTTGACATATAGCCCAACAGTATGCGGGCTTCATTCGCTGACTATCATCATGGCTTGACTCTTGCAAAAGTAGCTTGCAGCATCTCTGGCTCGTCCGACCAGCGAATCAGATCCGTCACACCCTATGGGTTTCTACGCCCGGGGAGCCTGTCTAGACGACTTTGTGACACGATTTCGGAGGTAGCGGCCTAGTGGGATTTACTCGTGATCCTATTAGTAAGCTTACCTCGGTATTCCACGCTCTGGTGACGCATTAAACAGTCGTCTCTTCACCGTTGCTGAATTTGCGTCTGTATGGTCTCGCATTTTGGTGTCCGCGAGCCATCGAAGCGCAGCAGCCTCTCACCCACTGGATTGAGGCTTGTGAAATAAGCTGGGGCTGTACAGTTTGTTGCTTCTCGATCTTGGTTACGGCCGCACGTGGCTAATGGACCTGGAAATTATTGGTGTCCTATTCAGAGCTGCAGAGGCCGCCCCGCGCCAAACTTTTACGTTCGTTCACATTTCTGGCATGAGCACAGGAAATTACGCTTGTTTCCGTCGGGCTGGGATAGGTCTCGCGATCCAGAAGCTGCTCGTGGGATACTTGCTGGGATAACGGAGGCTTCGTTCTCTGAAATCAGCTAGCGTAAGGAAAGTATTGCTCGTTGCGTACTCAAAAAGATGGTCACACCGCCTTCAGCTCCGTCTCATTCTGGTCTGGGAAGAAGAGGTGACGGTTGATACCGATCGAGTGGTACGAAACCTCATGATCGAGATCTTTTTGGTTCAGTCATTGGCCCGGATGACCGAGGCTCCATTCTCTAGGGCGGGTTCGTGTGGGGAAAACATTGGCTGTGGCAACTCGCAAGGCTAGAAGTTTCTGGGAACGCCATCAAATCTTCAGCTTCGTCTGATTCTGGCCTGAATATGAAAGCTGACGTCGGATAAATGTGGCTCTGAGTGAGACGGAGCCGCGTGATTCGACGCCTGTTGCCCCTCAGTTGACAGGCTGGGCAATAGATGAAAGGTTTCCCGCAGATGACTATTTCGGGGGACGAGTTGCTCACTGCAACTCCAGCAAGTCTAAGATTTACATTACGTAAAGCATCGGTTAGGCTTGCAGTGGAGCATTGGGACCCTGCGTCGATTGTGGGATGTGTTTCCCTGTTGCCTTTAAGACGTGCATCAATTGACTATGCTTGGCCGACCAGGTTTGTCACCGAATTTGTTGAGGGAATATTTTCGCGCGTCGAGTCGAAAACGGAGAGCTGAGCGGTACTGGACGCCTACTACCTCGAAAGGAAATAATTCGCGAGCTGAAGACAACACCTCAAGGTCACAGGGAGCCCCAGCGAAGTGATACCTTCTCCTGTCTTGGAGTAGGACAGGCCTCCGAATTGCGGGCTTCGGTACTCCATCAGGTCATCTTGTGCTCCGCCTGTGTCAGCAAATCAACCAATCCGGATTGCCCGTGCCCATGCCCATCCAATGTGTGACAAGGTCGACATATAATTTAGGCGCCAGCCCGCCCACATGGCACATGCGGAGCATGCTTCGCTCTCGGCGTTCTGTGATAATTTTTCCAGTTAAAGTTCTGACATGTAGCCTTTCTGGGCTGAAATTGCGGTCGCCCAATCTGGGTAGTTGCATATTGAAAAATAGGTGGGTACTTAATGTCATAACACTCTGGTTCGGGCGCTCGAGATTTTTCAGGTAGCTGGCTGCAGGACATGCTCTGATTGCCTGAGCGGCCGTGTCTCGCATACTTTGCAGGTAGGCTTACCTCATCTTGCCATCAGTCTTCGTATGACGTTGTTTCTGCGGAGGCCGTCTCCATTCGCGATATTATAGCCAGACTTCAAGTCCTGGCAAGTTGTATGTGAATACATGCCGCAAGGATACCGTATCAACGATGCTGACTGGATGTTGATTCTTGGTTCCTCTCTTCCTTCGACGCCCCAACCAGAGATCGATAGCCAATATCTTTGAAGTGCAGACTCAATCAGCGTCGACTATAATCCAGATCTGTACTAATACTGCGAGCCATTGTATGAAAAGGTTTCGAAGAAGAAAAGGAAGGGTTGTGAACGGAAGTGCTAACGGTGTCTTTTGTCTTTTGTTTCCGACATAATTCCGAGTGCCGAGGTTGAGCCGGCAATATGACGATTTCGATAGCGGAGATGCTGTTCCCAAGTCTCAGTGGCCCCACCGCCAAGTGGGTCTGAGCAGGAAATCCTGCCAAGACTTATTTTTTTGGTGTATTGCCCGATATGTAATATTCACACCCTGCGTATATATGATCCTTAACAAAAATACGTAACTACGTGATATAGCCTTTTTTGAAATTCTTAAAAAAAGTCGAATAAATAGTTAAATAGGCCCTCGTCAAATTAGAAGCTATAGTATAGTGATTAAGAAGTAGACTTTTAATTTTATTTTATTAAAAAATTTAGCTAACTTAGCTATAGTAGCGATATTAATACTTAAGAACGCTGTATATCTTAATAGACGCGTAGTACTATATAGAAATTTCTTTATAGTATATTAATCCTCGAGGTAACCGCTATGATACTCGTCGGATTAATAGTATAGCGTATTGAAGAAAATGTCGTAGCCTCGCTAGTTAGTTTATTACTTTAATTAAATATCGTAATCTCCTCTATTTTTTAAATAACTAGGCTTATAAGAGTCGTCGCGGCGATATATATAAATAAGTAAGTAAGTATGTATGTATGCATGTAAGTACGCAAGTAATTGTATAGCTATCGAACTTGCGGAGAGTAGAGCGGAGAGCGAAGTAGAGATAATTTATTCTTTTAATGTGAAGTTAGATATTAATAGCGGCGATATCGATAAATAAGAATATCTCGTACGACGTCGAAGTCTCTTATAGGTATATAAAATGTAGAAAAAGACGTCTTTAAATATAGAAAGGTCTACGTCGTCGTTATAAACGATCTAATCGAATATCGCTTAGTTATCTCCTCTCTACTTTTATACTCGGAAACTAAATATATAAATTTTTAAATTTCTTTTAATCCGAATTATTAAAAGTTTTTAGACTTCGCTATTATATAGAGAAAGAATATTATTATAAGATATAGAGAGATTAATATCTAAAGTTCGAAGATATCTCGTTGTTATTATTATAGAGAAATTTGGGTATCTAAATATCTCTAATATATTTTATACTTATACGAGCTCGTTCTAGGCGTGTCAACCGCGTTAATATTATTTAAAATATATATATTATAATCCCTTTAACTTCTAAGTAAAGCGTATTTAAGTTAATATATATTTCTATAGAGATAATATTTTAAGTACTTAACTTTCTAATTAAGAGTAATATAATAAATCTATCTTAATAATTTTTTAATTCGATTCGTTATATAATCTTTTAATAATATTAAATATAATACGCTATCGTCTAAGGTTTTCTCGATAAAGATTAATTAATTAAAGATGAGTATTATAAGCGTTAGCGAAGATCGTAATCTTAAATTAACTTATATAATAATAATAAGTTATTCGATTTTAATAAAAGGCTTAAATATTTAATTAGCGATCTCGATAGATTTATTTTCTTCGCGATTAACTTTAAAGAATTATATAATAATTATAGAAAAATTATTAAAAGTCGTAAATTTCGCATTTCGATCATCTATAAATCTGAAAAATTAATTTCCATACGATTTCCGCCGGGTTCGCACGATTAGTACGATTTAGTCTATTTAGTAGACTTTATCTATATCTAAATCCTTTTTATTAATTCTATTAATTTAGCAACTTCAAAAATTTTTAATAACTTTAAAATTTTTATATAATATACTTTAATATACTTTAAATATTATTCTATATATATATAGTATTAATATATATTATTATTAATATATATATTATTATACGCTATATTAGAGTATTATCTACGCGATTAATTTTATTAAATTATTTAATTCTATAGCTAAATTTAAGTTAGCGTTAATACTCGTTATTATAAAATCTTATTATCGCAATATTAATTATTAGAACTTTTCTTTTTTCGTATATATTGCTATTAAACTAATAGAATTAACGAAAAAGATTAAAATAGTTACTAAATCGGCGGAATTTAGATAGATTCTAATCAGATTTGCTAATCCGGCGGATTTTATAATTTCCGCGATATACGCGCGATCAGCAATTTCAAATTTTGCAGGAACTTTTCAGATTTGCAGATGATTAATTATTGCGGATATCTTATATAAAATAACGATTAATATAGCGATTTTAGGATTTTCTATTTAGATTTTAAGAGAGAGGTATATCGTAATGAGCTTGCGATATGATTGGCCTCTGAAGCGAGGCATTCGTGTAGGGCTGGCCATAGGTACCCCGGCTAGTCGTGAGTCTGAATTACTGAGACTAGCTGTTCCCAAAAGCTGTCAGCTCCTCTTGCTTGCGAACCTGATGCGAACGCCAATGGTCTTGCTGTATTCCTCCAACGTCAATTGCAATATTGCGACCTGTTAGTGCATCAGACATGTCCTCTTTGCTGAGGACCGTCAACCGAACAGCGATTCGGCAGCTGCAACAGCAGAGATCTTTCTCTCATTGCTTAAGTGGAAAGACACCGACGAAAAGCCCATCAGATCCGCTACAGAATTCGAGATCATATCCTACTACTCCTTCAAGAAGTCCTTTCTCAACAATGGCCGCTCTCAAGTCCAATGCCCCCGCAATGGCCGGCGTCAGGGAATTCGATCCAGAGATCAAGGACATGGCCAGCTACATCCACAATTACAGAGTCGACTCGGACCTTGCTGTATGTGAATACCCCTATCAAGTCTCCCAGTGGGATCGCCATTGACTCTCTTCGCTCGACAGTATGAAACCGCACGCTACGTTTTCCTCGATACCATCGGCTGCGGCCTTGAAGCTCTTCGGTTCAAAGAATGCACCAAGCTCCTCGGACCTATCGTTGAAGGTACCATCGTCCCACATGGCACTCGAGTGCCCGGTACCCCCTACGTCCTCGATCCTGTCAATGGCGCCTTCAACATTGGAGCGATGATCCGATGGCTCGACTACAATGACTGTTGGTTAGCAGCTGAATGGGGCCACCCTTCAGACAATCTGGGAGGGATATTGGCGGTGGCTGACTGGATATCGAGAACGAATCGTGCTGGAGGGCATGTTGGGAACGGGACCATTGTCAAGATCAAGGATGTCCTGGAAGCTATGATCAAGGCGCATGAGATACAAGGATGCTTGGCGCTGGAGAATTCCTACAACAAGGTTGGGTTGGATCATGTTGTGCTGGTCAAGGTCGCCACCGCGGCCGTAGTCTCGAAGATGCTGGGTCTACCGGAAAGAAAGACCGCGGATGCCATATCACAGGCTTGGGTTGATGGGCAGAGCCTGCGGACATACCGACACTCGCCGAACACGATGTCGAGAAAGTCCTGGGCGGCGGGCGATGCCTGTCAAAGAGCCGTCAACTTGGTACTGAAAGTGCAAAAAGGCGAGCATGGTGTTCCTACAGTCCTCTCGGCCCCAGTATGGGGGTTCTACGACGTAGCCTTCAAAGGCAAGAAGTTCGAATTCCAGCGGCCGTATGGGAGCTACGTGATGGAGAACATCTTATTCAAAGTCTCATACCCAGGTACATCCCCTCTTCGGCTGTCTACTTGCAGCAACGCTAACCGTTTCCGTACCCAGCCGAATTCCACTCCCAAACCGCCATCGAAGCCGCCAAAAAGATCAACGCCCAGCTCTCGGAACAAGGAAAGTCCGCGGAAGACATCAAGTCCATCACCTGCCGCACCCACGAAGCTTGCATCCGCATCATTGACAAACAACACAAACCCATGGACAACTTCGCCGACAGAGACCACTGCATACAGTACATGGTAGCGACCATGCTCGTCTTCAACCGTCTGCACGCGACAGACTATACCGATGGCTCGGAAGCTGCCACCAGCCCGCTCGTCGAGGAGTTGAGGAGGAACATCTCTTGCGTCGAAGACCCCGAGTTCACCAGAGCCTACCACGATCCCAACATGCGGACGATACCCAACGCCCTCACCGTCACGCTCGAGGATGGCACCGTGCTCGAAGAGACGGTCGTGGAGGCACCATTGGGGCACAAGCTGAGGCGGGAGGAGGCGAAGCCGGAAATCCTGGAGAAATTCGAGAGGCACCTCGGGCCACATTTTGAGTCGGAGAAAGTGCAAGAGCTGGTCGAGCTGGGGAAGAATAAGGAAAGGCTGGAGAACATGGGCGTCGATGAGTACATGGACAAGTACGTGAAGGAGAAAATGGAGTGGTAGCATCATGGGCAATGCATAGATGAACCTCCCTTTGAGATGTCGTATATACCCTACCAACCGAATGAACTCATCCCCTATCATCCATCCTCCATCAACTCAACAGCTCACATCGACAGTACCTACCCAACCAGCCCTAGTACCTATTCTACACGCACTCATTACCTCGGAAACCCCCAATGTCTGAGAACCGGCGCCGGGCCGTGCTGTTCCTGGTCAGGCATGGCGTAGCATGACATGTGCGGGTACAAAATCGTGGGGGGGGACTGGCATGGAAGAAGGGTTGAAGAATGAAAGAGTGAGATACTATTAGGGAAGGGAAGAGATATCGATTCCCGAAATTTCCCCACCCCCATGCTCCCCGAGTTCTTTTCGTCCTCACCTCCACGACCCCCTTCCCCTCCGCCATCTCCGGCCGCGGATCCAAATCCAAATCCGAACCCCCATAACCCATCCACACCCCTTCCCCCCTCCCTCCCCTCCCCTCTCTAGCCCGCGCCCGTAAAAGCCACTCCTGTCCCACTCCGTCCCATTCTCACCACGGCCGTGACCTTTTCTTCCCTTCCACCCTTCCTTCGTCTCCCCACCCACGTAAGCGCAACTCCGATTACACATACGTGTGCGTTTCGTTTGATGGATATACTTGCATGCGTGGTGTGGTGAGATGGGATGGGATGGGATGGGATGGGATGGGCGAAAATAGCATAGCATTGGATCCCGACGTCGATTCTGCTGATGATGCAGCTGGATAAGTAAGTGTAATACTATACCGTCGTAAGTAGCGTGCGTGCGTGCGTGCGTGTTCGACATAGCCCCTTTCGATCGGACGCAGTTGGTTTCCGAGTTGGGATCTCGCGTCTTGCGATAAGTTTTGGAAGGGGGGGAAGGTAATGGGTTTGTGGTATTTGAACTCGGCTGGACTTTTTACTCGGCTGGGGATTCACTGTCAGATGCGTTGCGAGGGTGGTGGAGGGTTTGTCATGCCGGTGAACGCTGAGACTGAGAAGCCCAGTGTGTAAAGCATCGATAAACGGCCGTGGGCTCGAGCGCCGCAAGGTCAGATAGTGATCGTGTGTTTCAGAGGCCTAAATCGGCTCGTGGCATACTCCAAAGGGATATACAGTACGATGCCTCGATGTTCGATTCGGGGACGAGCGGTGAGCTGTCGAGAACGGCATCTCAAAGAACGATGACGAAGAAATAATGAGAGGCGCGTGAATACTTCCGAATAGCTATGTCCCAGTCGAACGAAACGTTTACAGTCGTGGAGTATTGAATGACTGACGGACCGAAACAAACACACGCACGAACGACAGACAGCGATAAAGGAAACGGGAGAAGGAGAAACGCATCTGAAACCTAGCTTTTCCCGGCCAAGAACCACCCACGCGCAATTGAATGACTGACGGACCGAAACAAAAACACGCACGAACGACAGACAGCGATAAAGGAAACGGGAGAAGGAGAAACACATCTGAAACCTAGCTTTTCCCGGCCAAGAACCGCCCACGCGCAAAGGGGGGGGGGCCGAGATGCGGAATGGGCCGGGCACTCGAAACGAAAAGAGAGAAGAGCTTGAAGCGGTGGATGGGTGTCAAGACACCACAAGGAAGGGACGTTCAAATCTGTCGCAAAGTATGCTTGCTCAGCTCTGCGCGCTCTCGCGGGTATACCGGATTGCAGAGACTGCGGTGGGCATTCACGTGTGACGATATTTATGGAGACGCTACGATGGGAATACTTGTGGTAAGTCTTACCTTAAAGTGAAATGGTGTTGTGATATGAAGATGCTCGGGATCTACGACAGGAGGTGAGCGCGGGATAGCTGCAGGGTGTGTGCCCCACGCGCTGTAGGTGAAAGTGGCGAGGGCAAGCGCTCTGGAGTCTAGGTTCGATGAACGAATGTGGGCGGAGCTTCTGTTTGTTATTGTAAATGTGCGGTTGGACCTTGGGGTAGCGATATGGTTAGAGATTGATGGCGGTGCTACTGCTCGTTGAGATGGAACCAATTCGGGGTATTCGTGGTTGTCATTCATGGTTGTCAATGCCCCAATCAGTGCTAATAATGCAATATCAACGGAGGGCGGGGTAAGAGGAGGTATCTAGGTTGCGGAGAAGGAACATCGACGTTGACTTGAAGATAGGAAGACGGTAAGATTCATTTTGATACCGGAATCAAAAGAAAGTATGCACATCTCAAAAAAGACGTCGATAGCTCAAGCCAACGACAGCATCAAAGAAAAATTATTGAACGGGCCAATCGGCCCATCGCGGATAGACGGACGAACGCGCGGGCATTGGGGCACCACATCACATGCCGAGAACGCCCGCGGCGAGAACATGCTGTTCACGGAATCGCGAGGCATCTCGATGACAATCCCAGATACTGGTAGACAAAGCAAACGAGATGCCATCACTTGGCGGCTCCACCTGCAGGGACATGTGGCTGACGGTGAGCCAGTAGTTGCGACGTAGCAATTTCCTGGGTGTCAGGTGCTCTCTCAGGTGGCCATTCAGAGCGTCCCGGACGGTTATCTCAATTTGTTTTTTCCTTTTCCTTTCTTTATCTCTTTTTGAATTGCTTCTTTGCATGCAGGGGGCAGGTATGTCGCGCAGAAAAACTGGAGAGCTTGCAGAAAGCATTCTGTTTTCAATCCACAGGACACGGTGGGTAGGTAGCAGTCGATGGGATCCGACCTGCGGCCGGAGAGTGCGGCCGCCGCGCAGGAGACGCACGGGGTGCATTGCGAGGTCGCTCGAAGTGAGCGGGGTCTCCGCAAAAGGTGGAGGTTTTCCGACCTGGTTCCACGAGGCGTACCTGTCGACCTCCCGCGCGCTCTCCGTCATGATGACACTCATGGCAAATACCAATTTCTGGCATCCTCTATTCAGCCCCTGGATTCGACCTCACATCTACTTATCTTGCAGAGTGAAATAAAATATTTGCCGGGAAGAGGTAAGGAAACCTCCCTGTAGCACGCTCGCCCGGCATGCGACCGCAATTGCGAGTTCCAGGGTGCAGCACGGTTGCCTCTCGTGCGTTTGCTGTGCATAAGCTCGTCGGGATGCATGTGCAACACAGAGACATATGCACCAGGCATGCATTGCGCGCAGTCTGCAGCACGGAAAAGTCTGTTGTCCGGCAAATGATTTTGGCCGTGGGGTAAGTTGTTTGCAATCGCCGTTGAGCCCGACTACCTGTAATTATTGATCAACGGCGGACCACTCGGACCAGAGTAGGTATAATATTATTGCTTCCAGAGATTGATTGCCAGTGATCACGGTCATGATCAGTACCATATCGAAGACGCCTTATCGTCTTCGTCGATAAAAGCAGCGCGCGTCAAATGCTCCGAGGCACTCTCCCCACCCTCGAGGCTCAAATCCCCCTTGCCATCCCGGCAAAATCGGCAAAAACTATCCCGCCGCCAAGCCCCCTCCCTACTCTATCACCGAAAACCCCCCCTGAGGGTGTGCGAGCGGGTAACCCTGCATCCACAAGACTAGCCGCTAGCCGCATGCCGTATTTTTGACAAGCACTGTTACCGTACGACCTCGCAGGCCCCGCACGTTCCAGGTCCCCAATAATCAAAAATGTACCCCTGCCCGTGCATAATGCAACACTTAACGCATCGTGTGGTTTAATGCACCACGACTTTGTTAAATATCCCGAGGAGCCCGAGGATCTCCCTACGAGCGTCGGTGCAGAATCGTGGCTTGGGTTCGCCTCATGGGGCCGTCTGCAGCTCGTATTTCGCCTGATGGGAAAGGGAATGGGTTTAGTACGTTAATAATTGGTGGACCTTACAGAGTTGGTGAGGTCATCGTCAACTGAACTGGAAATAGCTATTTCGATCAGTAGTAGTATTATTATTATTATTATTTGTCATTTGTGCGCATTGATTGAGGAAAAGGAAGGATGGGGGCCTTCTGTCCAATAGTCAAGTAGGTTAAAGTAGTTAGGGGAGTAGGGGAGTACCTAGGGGATTAATGATTTTCGATGCGCCGGATCTTTTCTTCATCGCGATCTCTGACGAAAGCTTGCTGGGACTGGGATACTTACTTTCCGCTAGTAATGACCGTGGCAGATAACCGGGCATGACAGCCATGGAACAGACAGACTTTCTCGAGCCACGTTCATGAGACTTTTTCCCCAATTTGAAAGCCTGAGGTCAAGACAAGGTTGGCTCGGGTAATCAATCCTTTCTGACGTAAATCGATGCACCAACTGTGTGAGCTTGATAATACCCGGAAGCCACCGATTCAAGCATAAGGCCCTTTTCTGCTCCTTCCCCTTGCTTGGAGCGTCTCCACTTCCCAAGACCCTGGTGGATCCTGTGAAAGCCGTGGTCAATAATCCCATGATTGATCAGGCCATGTGGAGATGAAAGCCCAGCTGCAACGTCAGCATCAAATTACCACATCCTTTTCGCCCAAGTCCAACGGTGCTAGCTCGAATTGTTTCCGAAGGCGCGAATTGCGGCTTTCGGAGCAACGTCCTGTCCAAAACCGGAAGAGCATGCATCGCCTGTTCGTGCACATCGCTACCGAATCCTCACCGGCCACTCAAAGTTGGAAAGGTTGAAGTTCTTCCCTGTTTTGGATGCGCCCACTGCTTCAGGTGTAGCTTGCGACCTCTAGATGGGACGGAGACCAGCTTGACAGGGGAGACGGTGGGCCAGAACGTGACTAGGCAAGGGGCGTGAAACGCCATGGATTTGGGAAGGGTGAAGACTAGTACAAGTCTGTTGTTCTCGAAATAGATCTTTCCGATGTCATACCTGACCTAGTTGGCGATCCAGATTGGCAGAGATAACGAGGAAAAAGGCGGCACATTCATCCTATCGAGAGTGATAGACTGGATAAAGATAAGGGAATTGGAAAGAGGAAATAACAGATAGTCGGGAAATAGAAGGCAGATAGATGGCAGACATGTTGTGACTTGTGAAGGCAGTAGTTGATATTAGGTATTGTGTGGAGTTAGCAGCGACGACAAGCTTGTC